TTTCTTTTTTTTTTTTTTTTTATAGAAAAAATGGTTAGTAATTAGATTAATATTTACTTTTGTCATTGACAAGGTTCAAACACTGAAAAAAAATGCAATTCACCGATAGCTTTAGGAAGCTGCAGACTGCAGTGATGCGATGACCTAGGTTGATGTTAATGTAGAAAAGGATAACCAAGGGTGGGAAAAAGAATAAATATGAATAAATATGCTGTTGGTTCTTATTGTATGTTTGATTTATGAGAAATGAGAAAAAAGGAGAGAGAATTTTTTATTAGTTAAATTATATTATTTTTTTGAATTAAATTATATTGTAATATGATTGGTAATCTTTTTTTTTTAATCAAGTATATTATTATAGTATGTTTAAGTTGAAAAAAATGGAAAAAAAGAAAGAGAAATTTTTTTTAGTTATTAAAAGAATTAAAAAGAAGAAAAGGAAATTTTTTTCTTATTTATTTAATTAATTTTTTAATTAAATAAAAAAATACAAAATACAAAATTTCTTTCATTTATTTCTCAAAGTTCAAATCTATTGATAATGATGTGGTTTGATTTATATCATTCAAAAAATTTAAAGATTTTAAAAATTATTTATATCATTATTAATTTAAAAGTTCATGCAGAATCCGGCCATGTTCTTAAATTTTAGTATTTAGATTTAATTAATAAAAAATTTAACTTTTATTACTTAAAAAGATTTCTTATTTCCTCCTAATTTTTCATGTTAAAAAAAAAAAAATTTAAAAGTTCACACAAGGACGTGGTTTTGCCGTTTTTCGTACTCGCAGGGGAAGCTATTATTTGGGCTTAGACCCATAAAATCTTTTGGTATTTGAGTTGGGCTAAAATTTGAAAGCTTGCCAGGCCCTAAGAAAGGAGACCCATCCAAGGCCCGGGTTTAGAAAAGTCCACAAATTATCGGAGTCGGCTCGCCTCTCACGGGCCACCGCCTCACTTATCCTCGACTCTATGTTAAAACCGATCAAACCCTCCATTTTCTCTTCGTTTTTCTCTCTTTTCTTTTCTCCTCCATGGAGGGATCTGAAGCACTCTGCATAGTGAGAGTGTAGATTTAGAACCTCTAAACCCTAGAAATCCCCTCCGGTGAAACTCTCGAATTTTTTACAATAATCTCTGCAAATCTTCTTCGTAGCCTTTGCATCACTATTTTGAGGTCCGTTTACTTGGTTGATTTGGTGAGTGAAACAGTATGTGGAACAACGGTAGCAACAACGGCGCGCAGATAGCGCCTCCAGGGACTGGAGGCTCCACGATACCGCCTCCGCCAGCTGCCCAGCCTTCCTACACGGTCCTTGCGCCGCCAACGCCTCAGGAGGCTGAGGCGAAGCTGGAGGAGAAGGCTAGAAAATGGATGCAGCTTAACTCTAAAAGATATGGCGACAAACGTAAGTTTGGATTCGTTGAGACGCAGAAAGAGGACATGCCGCCTGAGCATGTCAGAAAGATTATCAGGTTAGGGTTTCGTTTTTCCCACTGGTTGCTGTAATTTAGGGTAGAATCTTTTTTTCCTCCTCCTGGTTTTCTCTATGTCTTTCTTTGTACTTAAAAGATCGGAAAGACGTGGTGGTGATTGATTTTGCTTGTTGCTATTGACAGAGATCATGGGGACATGTCCTCGAAAAAGTATCGCCATGATAAACGAGTGTATCTGGGAGCCCTTAAATTCATTCCACACGCAGTTTACAAGCTCCTCGAGAACATGCCGATGCCTTGGGAGCAAGTTCGTGATGTGAAGGTCTTGTACCATATTACTGGAGCAATCACTTTTGTGAATGAAATACCATGGGTCGTTGAACCGATATACTTAGCACAGGTATGCTTATCTTTTTCCCTTCTCTTACCCTTGCCGAGGCTTATTTCCTTGGGATTTACATGTGCTATTTTCATGGTTATATTTGTTTGTGTTTGTTGATCAACTTTTATATCTAATTATATTTCAATAGTGGGGGACCATGTGGATCATGATGCGAAGGGAGAAGAGAGATCGTCGTCATTTCAAGAGAATGCGTTTCCCACCTTTTGATGATGAGGAACCTCCGTTGGACTATGCTGACAATCTGTTAGACGTTGATCCCTTGGAGCCAATTCAACTGGAATTGGATGAGGAAGAAGATTCAGCTGTATATACTTGGTTTTATGACCATAAGCCTCTTGTGAAGACAAAGCTTATCAATGGTCCAAGTTACAGGAAATGGCACCTCTCTCTTCCAATTATGGCAACTTTGCACAGGCTTGCTGGACAACTGCTTTCAGATTTGATTGACAGGAATTATTTCTACTTGTTTGACATGGAGTCATTCTTTACAGCCAAAGCATTGAACATGTGCATACCTGGTAAGCACTTTGAATTGATTATCCAGCTTGACCTTAACTTTGCATCTGTTGACAATTAAATTATGGTTTGGTGATGTATCTTATTCCTATCACATAGAATTTGTTCTAAATCTTCATTTTTCATGCATGATAAACTAATGATGATTTGGTATCAATTTTATATACATTCATGTTCTTGTATCTTTTATGTTATGAATCAAGTAATGGGGATTTGCTTGTCCATTGTGCTGTTTTGTCTTGCTGCTGCCTGAATGCTTCAGCTTTCTCGACTAATACTGCTCTTTTTTAGGTGGCCCAAAGTTTGAACCTCTTTATCGAGACATGGAGAAGGGGGATGAAGACTGGAATGAGTTCAATGACATAAATAAACTCATTATTCGGTCACCTCTCAGGACAGAGTATAGAATTGCTTTCCCTCATCTTTATAACAATAGGCCCAGAAAAGTGAAACTTGGTGTCTATCACACTCCCATGGTAATGTACATAAAGACAGAGGACCCTGATTTGCCAGCATTCTATTATGATCCTTTGATTCACCCAATAACTACCACAAACAAGGAGCGGCGTGAAAAGAAGAATTTTGATGATGAGGATGAGGATGAGTTTTGCTTGCCTGATGGGGTTGAACCGTTGCTGAATGACACTGAGCTTTATACAGACACTACTGCTGCTGGCATTTCCCTGTTATTTGCTCCACGTCCCTTTAATATGAGATCAGGTCGGATGCGACGTGCTGAAGATATACCACTTGTGTCAGAGTGGTATAAGGAGCACTGTCCTCCGTCGTATCCTGTTAAAGTTCGAGTAAGCTATCAGAAACTTTTGAAATGTTTTGTTCTGAATGAGTTGCATCATAGACCACCTAAGGCTCAGAAGAAGAAACACTTATTTCGATCTTTAGCTGCCACTAAGTTTTTCCAAACCACAGAGCTTGATTGGGTTGAAGCAGGTCTTCAGGTTTGCAAGCAAGGGTATAACATGCTGAACCTGTTGATCCATAGAAAAAATTTGAACTACCTTCACCTTGATTATAACTTCAACTTAAAGCCTGTGAAGACTCTCACCACCAAAGAACGCAAGAAGTCACGATTTGGAAATGCTTTTCATCTCTGTCGTGAGATCTTGCGTCTAACAAAGCTTGTAGTGGATGCCAATGTCCAGTTTCGGTTGGGTAATGTTGATGCTTTCCAATTGGCTGATGGTCTACAGTATATTTTTTCACATGTTGGCCAGTTGACTGGAATGTACAGATACAAATATCGACTGATGAGGCAAATCAGGATGTGCAAAGATCTAAAGCACTTAATTTACTACCGCTTTAATACCGGTCCAGTTGGTAAGGGGCCAGGATGTGGATTTTGGGCACCAATGTGGAGGGTTTGGCTGTTTTTCCTTCGTGGTATTGTGCCTCTTCTGGAACGGTGGTTAGGAAATCTCCTTGCACGTCAGTTTGAAGGTCGTCATTCTAAAGGAGTGGCAAAGACTGTTACTAAGCAGCGTGTTGAGAGCCACTTTGACCTGGAGCTTCGAGCTGCTGTCATGCATGATGTTCTTGATGCAATGCCAGGTAATTGGTTTCTTTTGTTTTTTTGGTAGTTCAATTATTATAGTTCTTGATTTCTAATTTCTACACAGAACTTGTTTGGTTAATCTTCTACTGTTTTATAACAGAGGGCATTAAGCAAAACAAAGCAAGAACAATATTGCAGCATCTTAGTGAGGCATGGCGTTGCTGGAAAGCAAACATTCCTTGGAAGGTGAAATAGTTTATCTAATTCTTTTGATAGCCTTAATTGCTCGTTGTTTCCCTACTTCTTTTTTTCTTTTTCTTTTTCCCTGTCTTTTTCATGTTGTCTCACTTTTACTTTCTCTAGGTTCCTGGTTTACCAGTTCCCATTGAGAACATGATTCTTCGCTATGTCAAGGCAAAAGCAGATTGGTGGACAAATGTTGCCCATTATAACCGTGAACGTATAAGAAGAGGTGCAACTGTTGATAAGACAGTTTGTAGGAAAAATTTGGGTAGATTAACACGCCTTTGGTTAAAGGCAGAGCAAGAACGGCAGCACAATTATTTGAAAGATGGTCCATATGTTACTCCTGAAGAAGCAGTTGCCATTTATACTACTACTGTGCATTGGTTGGAATCAAGAAAGTTCTCCCCCATTCCATTCCCACCATTATCTTACAAGCATGATACAAAGCTTCTTATCCTTGCACTGGAGAGGTTGAAGGAATCTTATAGTGTTGCTGTGAGATTAAACCAGCAACAAAGAGAAGAACTGGGCCTTATTGAACAAGCATATGATAACCCACATGAGGCTCTGTCACGCATTAAGCGTCACCTGCTAACCCAGCGTGCCTTCAAAGAAGTGAGTTGGTGATTGATGGTGGTTATGTTTTAATTGAACTCCTACTCTTGTTTTGTGGATTCAATTGTTTTTTTTTTTCCCCTACAGGTTGGCATAGAGTTCATGGACTTGTACAGCTATTTGATTCCAGTATATGAAATTGAACCTCTTGAGAAGATTACAGATGCTTATCTTGACCAATACCTATGGTATGAGGGAGACAAGCGCCACCTGTTCCCTAATTGGATTAAGCCTGCTGATTCAGAGCCACCTCCACTTCTGGTGTATAAGTGGTGTCAAGGTATAAATAATTTGCAAGGGATATGGGATACTAGTGAGGGACAGTGTGTGGTGATGCTTCAAACGAAGTTTGAGAAGTTCTTTGAGAAGATTGACTTGACAATGTTGAACAGGTAGATATCATCTGAAATTTTAACTTCTTTTATGGTCATCTTGGAACTTGAGAATAATGTACTTTGTATTTTGCAGGCTTTTACGTTTGGTTCTCGACCATAACATTGCTGATTATGTTACTGCAAAGAATAATGTGGTGTTGTCTTACAAAGATATGAGTCACACAAACTCATATGGTCTTATACGTGGTCTTCAGTTTGCTTCTTTTGTTGTCCAGTACTATGGGCTTGTCCTTGATCTCTTGATTCTTGGATTGACTCGTGCTAGTGAAATTGCGGGTCCACCACAGATGCCTAATGAATTCATAACTTACTGGGACACTAAAGTTGAGACACGACATCCAATTCGGTTGTACTCGAGGTACATAGATAAGGTGCATATATTGTTCCGGTTCACTCATGAAGAGGCACGAGACCTTATCCAACGCTATCTCACTGAGCATCCAGATCCCAACAATGAAAATATGGTTGGATACAACAACAAAAAGTGTTGGCCTAGAGATGCAAGAATGAGGCTCATGAAGCATGATGGTATGTTAAGATCTGTTATAACATAATCTTTAGAGCAGAATGCCTTAGGCAGGATTCTGGTGTTTACTTAACTCCTTTTCCTTATTTCAGTTAATCTTGGGAGAAGTGTTTTCTGGGATATGAAGAATCGTCTGCCACGAAGCATTACAACTTTGGAGTGGGAGAACAGCTTTGTTTCTGTGTATAGCAAGGACAACCCTAATCTGCTTTTTAGCATGTAAGTTCATTTATTTGGCATTTCTATATGTTACAATTATGATATATTATCTACTCATTTGGCTTTTTGGTCTCATGATCCAAATAATCAAATTATATTTCCAAACTTTTCCTCATCATTAGGATTCTATCTACGTCTACATAATTTTGTGTAAAAATCATAATCAAGATTTGCTCCTGCTCTCATCTGGACCTAGACATTCCAAATTGCATTTCCTTGTGTTCTTGTGTGTAGAAAGGGTCGATCCTGCAAAATTTCAGTATAATATTATAAATTGCTTTTCTTGTTAATATTATAGAATTTATGAGGCAGCATGTTTTGTTTATGAGATCTCTGAGTGGGTGAGATACTGAGTTCTGTTCTTTGCAACGATTCTTGTGCAATTTGACTCAGGAGGTTGCTTTGTCTGTGTTGTCTTGCTTTTGTTTTGTCTTGCTTTTGTTTTGTCTCCTTTATTTGATCAGTTGGTTAATATAATTTCTTCTTTTGAACCTCAGGTGTGGTTTTGAAGTTCGGATACTTCCAAAAATAAGAATGACTCAAGAAGCATTTAGCAATACAAGGGATGGAGTTTGGAATTTGCAGAATGAGCAGACAAAGGAGCGCACTGCCGTTGCTTTCTTACGTGTTGATGATGAGCACATGAAGGTGTTTGAGAATCGTGTTAGACAGATTCTTATGTCTTCAGGGTCAACAACATTTACTAAAATTGTCAACAAATGGAATACTGCCTTGATAGGTATCTGTTTTCAGCTCTCTCTCTCTCTCTCATTATGGGTACATTTTAGGGTTGGGTTGTGGGATTATTTGAACCTTGAAGCATGGTTTTTCTAAAGGAAGAGTAACAACCACTAGCTTAAGCCTGGATTGCTCTGGATGTTTTCTATTGTTTTTGTTACAGTTGATTTTTGGTGGTCTGTTTTGTACTGAGCTCTGTTTTTCTTTACCATGTTGACAGGTCTAATGACTTACTTTCGTGAAGCAACTGTACACACACAAGAGCTATTAGATCTGCTGGTCAAATGTGAAAATAAAATTCAAACTCGTATCAAGATTGGGCTTAACTCAAAAATGCCCAGCAGGTAAGTGTTTTAAGCATATATTGATATTTTCCTTTCTCTTAAAATTTTCTGAAGTCTTAATTCTTTTTATATTTTGTTATGCTTTCAGATTTCCACCAGTCATCTTCTATACTCCTAAAGAAATTGGAGGTCTTGGCATGCTGTCAATGGGGCACATTCTGATTCCTCAGAGCGACCTCCGTTACAGTCAGCAGACTGATGTTGGTGTAACTCACTTTAGGAGTGGAATGAGCCATGAGGAGGATCAGCTGATTCCAAATCTTTATCGTTATATTCAGGTTAACTTAATTTTCTTATCTTTATTTTTGTCATCTCTAATATTTTTTTCTGTATTAATTGTCTTGCTGTCTTTTCAACAGCCTTGGGAGAGTGAGTTCATAGATTCACAGCGTGTTTGGGCAGAGTATGCATTGAAGAGGCAGGAAGCTCAGGCGCAAAACAGGAGACTGACACTTGAAGATTTGGAAGTGAGTTTCCTTAGCTTTTTTTCTTAAGCAATGGATTATCTTTGATGTGTATTCCATGTATGCTACTTATATATTTCATATAGTAGAAGGAATTGCATATGCTGTTTGTACCTTTTAGCAGAATATTGCTCTGATAATTTGTCCAATTTTTGTTAACAGGATTCATGGGATAGAGGAATACCTCGTATAAATACTTTGTTTCAGAAGGATAGACATACTTTAGCATATGACAAGGGGTGGAGGGTTCGCACTGATTTTAAGCAGTACCAAGTTTTGAAGCAGAACCCATTCTGGTGGACACACCAAAGACATGATGGGAAGTTATGGAACTTGAATAACTATCGAACTGATGTGATACAAGCACTTGGAGGTGTTGAGGGAATTCTTGAGCATACCTTGTTTAAAGGGACATAGTAAGTTCATCTTGTTTCTCTTCATTTTTTCTCTTCTTCACAATTATTAACTGTTTCATGCTAGGTGACCATTCTTTTCTAACAAGGGCCTGGGTGCATGTCAGTGGATATGTGGTTATGGCACATATCATTGCTTTCGGTTAGATGTGACAATTCTGATAAAAACATAGTTTTGGCAACTAACTTCCTTTTTTATCCTGAAATTTACAGCTTTCCAACTTGGGAAGGTTTGTTCTGGGAAAAGGCATCAGGATTTGAGGAGTCAATGAAGTATAAAAAGCTTACTAATGCTCAGCGATCTGGTCTTAATCAAATTCCCAACCGTAGGTTCACTCTTTGGTGGTCACCTACCATTAATCGGGCCAATGTATATGTTGGTTTCCAAGTGCAATTAGATCTTACGGGAATTTTCATGCATGGGAAGATCCCAACCTTGAAAATTTCTCTGATTCAGATCTTCCGTGCTCATCTGTGGCAGAAGATTCATGAGAGTGTTGTTATGGATCTTTGCCAAGTTTTGGATCAGGAGTTGGATGCTTTGGAGATTGAAACTGTTCAGAAGGAGACTATCCATCCTAGGAAAAGTTATAAAATGAACAGCTCTTGTGCAGATGTACTTCTCTTTGCAGCTCATAGGTGGCCAATGTCAAAGCCTAGCCTTGTGGCTGAGTCAAAAGATATGTTTGATCAGAAAGCTAGTAATAAATATTGGATAGATGTACAACTTCGTTGGGGGGATTATGACTCACATGATATTGAGCGCTACACAAGGGCCAAATTTATGGATTATACAACAGACAACATGTCTATATATCCATCACCTACTGGTAAATTTTATTTTCTCCATAATCGTTTCATTTTCGCCTTTGTTTGGCTTTGGGTATGAATTAATCAGGTCTATTCTTTCAGGGGTGATGATTGGCCTTGATCTAGCTTATAATTTGCATTCTGCATTTGGGAACTGGTTTCCTGGATCAAAGCCATTGCTTGCTCAGGCAATGAACAAAATCATGAAGGTATATTGAATTTATAGATTCATTGTTTGGTAGACATACAATTATATATGCTAATGATTAACTTTTTATTCCAATGACCTGGTTCTATGTTTCAAAATCTGAAACTAATTATTTGTTTTTCATAATGCAGTCAAATCCAGCCTTATATGTTTTGAGGGAGCGGATAAGAAAAGGTCTACAGTTGTATTCTTCTGAACCCACTGAACCTTATCTCTCATCACAAAATTATGGAGAGATCTTCAGCAACCAGATTATATGGTTTGTTGATGATACCAATGTGTATCGCGTTACAATCCACAAGACATTTGAAGGAAATCTCACAACAAAACCTATCAATGGTGCCATCTTTATATTCAACCCTCGGACAGGGCAATTGTTCCTGAAGGTTTGTTTCTTGACATGGCATTTTGCTTTTTAAGCTAGTTTATCTTTATAGTAAAGATCTCTAATTGAAATCCTCCCTGCAGGTCATTCACACAAGTGTTTGGGCTGGTCAAAAGCGTCTTGGACAGCTGGCCAAGTGGAAAACTGCTGAAGAAGTTGCTGCTCTTGTGCGTTCACTGCCTGTTGAGGAGCAGCCTAAGCAAATCATTGTGACTCGTAAAGGAATGCTTGATCCCTTGGAGGTTCACTTGCTTGATTTCCCTAACATAGTTATCAAGGGTAGCGAGCTGCAGCTCCCATTCCAGGCTTGCCTAAAGATTGAGAAATTTGGTGATTTGATTCTTAAGGCTACTGAACCACAAATGGTCTTGTTCAACATTTATGATGACTGGTTGAAGAGTATCTCATCATACACAGCATTCTCCCGACTCATTCTGATCCTTCGGGCACTTCATGTGAACAATGAGAAGGCAAAGATGTTACTGAAACCTGACAAAACAATTGTTACTGAGCCGCACCATATCTGGCCTTCTCTTACTGATGATCAATGGATGAAGGTAACGATTTGTTGTTAAATAATCCTTCTCAATTTCTTTTAGGCCCTTTATTGTTCTGTATTATACTAAAGATAAATGCATATTGCAGGTTGAAGTTGCTCTAAGAGATTTGATACTCTCAGATTATGCCAAGAAGAACAATGTTAATACATCTGCCCTGACCCAATCTGAGATTCGTGATATCATTCTGGGTGCTGAGATTACTCCACCATCTCAACAGAGGCAACAGATTGCGGAGATAGAGAAACAGGTGACATTTGATACTGATATAGTTTGTTTCTTAGTTTCCCAATGTTAATCAAACAGCCTGTTCCTTAATTCTTTTTTGCCTTCTAACTTTGGAGTTTTGGGAATATTTTCAGGCAAAGGAAGCAAGTCAGCTGACAGCAGTTACTACAAGGACAACAAATGTGCATGGTGATGAACTCATTGTCACTACTACAAGTCCCTATGAGCAATCAGCATTTGGTTCAAAAACAGATTGGCGTGTCAGAGCAATATCTGCTACCAATCTTTATCTTCGTGTCAACCATATATATGTGAACTCAGAGGACATTAAGGTATATATATCTCACGTTGTTTCAGCTCTTTTGGTTGATGTGGATGGTTTTACTTTTTCTTTGCTGACATCAATCACATCATGGTGCAGGAAACAGGATACACTTACATCATGCCCAAGAACATTTTAAAGAAGTTTATCTGTATAGCAGATCTTCGGACACAAATTGCTGGATACTTGTATGGTATAAGCCCTCCTGACAACCCTCAGGTTAAGGAAATCAGATGCATTGCCATGCCGCCACAGTGGGGAACTCATCAGCAAGTTCATCTCCCTTCAGCACTTCCTGAGCATGATTTCTTGAATGATCTAGAGCCTTTGGGATGGATGCACACTCAACCGAACGAGCTTCCTCAGTTATCACCACAGGTTTGTCTACTTCAACCTCTGCCTTTTCTTTTGATTTAATATTTCAGCTGATGTATAAGTAACATTTTTATGGACCAAATGATTATTATCTCATCTATATAAAACTCATACCTGCAGGATGTTACAGCTCATGCCAGAGTTCTAGAGAATAACAAGCAGTGGGATGGAGAGAAGTGTATCATCTTGACCTGCAGTTTCACCCCTGGTTCTTGCTCACTAACTGCTTATAAGCTTACTCCAAGTGGTTATGAGTGGGGGCGTGTCAACAAGGATACTGGAAGCAATCCTCATGGCTACCTTCCAACTCATTATGAGAAGGTGCAGATGCTTCTAAGTGATCGGTTCCTTGGGTTTTACATGGTAAGAATCAGCAAATTGATTAGTCTTCCTGACATTGATTTGATCTGGTTTTTATTGTTGTTCACTCTTAATCTTTTTTCTTTACTTATTTTAGATTCCGGACAATGGCCCATGGAATTACAACTTCATGGGAGTGAAGCATACAGTAAGCATGAAATATGGAGTGAAGCTTGGGACAGCGAGAGAGTACTACCATGAGGATCACAGGCCAACCCATTACCTGGAGTTCAGCAATTTAGAGGAAGGGGACACTGTTGAGGGAGATCGTGAGGATACATTTTCGTAATTCTTATCTTGTTTCAAGTTGTAATTTCGACAAAGTTGTATGAAGCGCACACTTTTTTGTAGTACCAACACTCTGTAGCTGTTGGATAAAAATTACTCTGTAGCAGAATCATGTTATGAATTGAGTTGTAAATCTATGATCTATCTCTTAAAATTTATACATAATTAGCAGAACTTGGAATGGTAATCTTCTGTTATTCTATGGCTGAAAAAATGCATACAGCTGTAGCTATTCGGAAGTGGGATGATTCCTGCTAGCTCGAACTTAGACATGGAAGAACCAAGGTGTATCCAAATTTAGATTGGCCCTTGTTTAGAAGGCTGCAATACAGAGAAAAAAAATTTCAGATGGAATTATTATAATTTGGAGTTAGAAATTTAAACTCGTACAATATTAGGCAATGAAAAAATAAATAAAAATAAAAATAAAAATTGAATTTCTTATCTAGCGTCCTAAAGTGTCGTATACAATTCATGTATGGTTTAGAGACTGTTCCATGATGATAAAGGAAAGAACAAAATTAGTGATTACACAAGTAATTCATTGCAAAAGGGATGAAAATGAAAATTTCATTAAAATAATGGAAATGTTGAATACCTATTTATTTAGTTATCTGTGTAAATTTAAAGCTTAGTGTCTTGCAGTCACCACAAAACGCCAACGATTAGTTAAGGGATTCATACCTAGTATCAGGGACTCAAAATCATTTAGGTTGTGTTTGGGAACTTGAATTTGAATTTGATGAGTGTAATTAAAATACATGTATTTGAAATACATGTATTTAAAATACATGTATTTTAAAATACATTGTTTGGATT